TATTCTACTGTATTTTTAGAGTATAAGACGCACCAAGGTTTTGAAGAGGCAAAATTTAAAAAAAGTTTTTGCACTCTGCAAACCTCCCAAACCTCCCATTTTTCATGAAAATGGGCCTGTTTTTTTCAAAAGAAGGACATGAATAGCTTTTAGGAGGCTTGTAGAGTGCTCCTGGGGGTGGGGGTGGGGCAAAAATGAGAAAAAAATGACCCATTTTTCACAAAAATGGGCCCGTTTTTTTGTCAAAAAAAAGGACATGGATAGCCTTTAGCAGGTTTATAGAGTGCTCCTGGGGGCCGGGGGGCGGCAAAATTGAGCAAAAAACATTTTTCACTCAGTTCTGCCCTCCCCAGCCCCCAGGAGCACCCTGAAAGCCTCCTAAAAGCTGTGCACGGCCATTTTGGTGAAGGGGGTGAGGTTTTGCAAGGCAAAAAATGCTGTATTCAGTGTATAAGATGCACCCAGATTTTCAGCCTCTTTTTTGAGGGAAAAAGGTGCGTCTTATACTCGAAAAATACAGTAATTGCAGCAGGATGGACTTGTTTCTATTATCAATTCCCTATGATGAATTCTCCCTTCAAAATCCAGGCAATTGTAATTGGGCCAAAGTGCAGAGAATGTCTAGGCCTATTTTGTATAATTATAGCTGACAAACTTTTCATCATTCATTAATCAGTGTGTCGTTGGAGTACAAATGTTTTGGGTCATAATAGTTATAGCTTACCACCAAAATCTTTATATACATCTGTTCTTATTTTAATATTACAACTAAATATATCTCCCGTTATAACATTTCCTAAATTATTTAATTTTCTACTTTTTATCCATATTCATTTTCTAACCAATGATAAAATAGCCCCCCATATATATTATACTAATCAGATTCTTCCTTTCCTTTAATTGCTAGCGTTAATCTACTCATTTCTGCACAATCTAATATTTTCTTGATCACATTTTCATCTTTAGGAACTTCCTCCGCTTTCCAATTTTGTGCAAATAAAATTCTAGCCGCAGTTATTATATGAATAATCAAATATACATTTTCTTTACTATATTTCCCTGGTAAGATACCCAACAAGAACAATTCAGGTTTTAAGTCAATATGTTGCTGCGTCATCTTCTCAAACCACATTCAAATTCTTGCCCGGTATTTTTTCGCTTTTGAACATGTCCATCACATGTGATTAATACGACCCCAGCATTCGACAGCATTTCCAACATTTGGTTAATTTGTCTTTAAACATTTTTGCCAATCTTTCAGGTGACGTGTGCCATCTATAAAACATTTTGTACAAATTCTCTTTATATGCAGTTGCCATTGTTAATTTATAATTCCGTTCCCATTATTATTCCGTTATCTAACTCTTATCGAGTATCCAAAAATTTTTGCCCNAAATAATATTTGGTCATAAGTAGCTAAGTATAAATAAATAAAGAATTGTACATAAAAAAAAGTATCAACTGTGAATAATCAAGCAATGAAATAATACTTTTGAATTGGATTTGCCATGTAAAATACTGTCGTTCTGAGATCAAGAAGATCCTCCATTAAATAAATATGTTGTGGTTTATTTGTAGTTTTCTATCCCTTTCTCTTTTTTTAAATGTTCTGCAAGAGTACTCTCATAAAAATTTGGACGAGAGGATGCAATGTATTTATATTTTCCACATACCAGAATATGATTTTTCTTCTAATCAAAACGTTTGCATTAACATGCACAGATTAATTTGTTGAATCCAATCACAAATAATTTGGCTAGAGTTAAATGTAGAAGGACCTGCCTTATTTTTTTTTTTAAGATGATTGTGCATCTGAGAACATTGCAAATATACATAATCTTTTGATAAGCTGCTTCTTGTAGACTTCTGGAATGCGGGGAAGGTGGCAGGAAGAGAGGCAAATTTGAACAGATTGCACGGGAGCTGTTTGGCTCAAAGCCAGCATTCAATCATATTTTAATATTATAGTATGGTAATTATCCATAAAGTAAAATAGTTCCCTTCTTCTTCCTTAGTGTTCTGTGAAAGCTTGATCTTTTCATTTGGTTTTGATTCTTGTAGCACCTGATAAAGTAAGCTGCAGTTCATGAAAGCGTATGTTTCTGAATAAAATATGTTCGTTTGAAAAGGTGCTATCAGGCTCTTGATTTATTTAAACCCTGAAAATTCTTTCTGAAGGTGTGGAAAGAGATGACTGCAAAAGAGAAACCCAAAATAACCATTGATATGCTACATGTAATCATCAACTTCTTCCATTAAAATGTTTTAATAATATTCATTAATGTGTATCAATACTTGATCATATAATTGGATCAGTAACCACTCCTAGTTCCTAAGTGTTTTCTGATATTTTGGCTATTACTAGCATGTAGGTACCATGCTTGACAGTGTCCTCTGCAGAGCATTGGGCCAGACTCCGACAGTGAGGGGTCTTATGAGTCGGCCCTGGAGGAGGTGGAGGACCCTGGACAGGGTGCCGACTCCGAGCAGGGCAAGGAGAGACTGGTTGGCCACCAGGTGGTGCTGGAGCCTTGGGTCAGAAGGAATGATCAGGAAAACACTTGTGAGTTGTTCCGGGATGCACGCTGTCGAAGGGCTACTCGGTGGCAGGAACAACTGTGTAATTATAGGAGATGATTACGCTCAGTTGATGCTTATTAAGATCCTCTCCTNAAAATGAGCAGCACTTTATAGATGAACATGTGTAAAACTAACAGTTCTGTCAATTACAGAAACAGAAGATAACATGGAGGAAGAAATCGAAGCTGAAGATGATTAAGAAGCTAAATGCAAAATGGTTCTTTAATGTGTAATGAACGTTGTATTGCTTTATTAGTGAATGCAGAAAAACTGCATGATGTATTTCAAGAAATATAATGTAAAGAAGGAACACTGTTTTACTTTGTCAAATTTAATTTGCAATTTAAAGTTATTTTGATATTCACTGATGCCTGGCATCTTCTCAAAGCTTTTCAATTTTGACTCCCGCTGAGTTAAGCATTCAGTCGTACCTCTTGGCAGTCATAATTTTTACTGAATTGTATTTCTAGTTTTTATATCACCCAGAACTATAAAGCTGGCAAAATGTGAATGTGCAAAAATAAGAGTAAAAATGCGCCTGACCCAAACATCTTAAATTACGCAACTTGAATGAACTGTGTAAAATATATTTGATTTGAATTGATGAATTGAGATTTGAGGAGGGCAATTTGAATTTGATTCTAGGGCAAACCATGACCAGTCACAACAAACAAACCACTAGCAACCTAGTTTAATTTGGAAACAAGATTTAGGCTTTAGCTATCTATATTTATTCTCCCAGCATAAGAAAGATAAGAACACGTTATGATTTTATTCTCTGGTTTCTTCATAAGTGAGTGAAGCCAGAGTCCTGGGACTGCATATCACACTAACATTGGCTACATAAACTAGGAATGGTTTAATTGTTTCTTGTGTAGCATTTTGGGTTAGATATTCTATAAGGTCCCTTCCAAATCAAATCTCATTCTGTGATTTTATCGTTTTGACTAATCCATATCTGCACCTCTATTTCTCACTAAGCTAACTTTATGAATTTGTGTGTTGTGTGAATGCAATTTGTATTACTTCTGTTAAATAAAGTGAAGATGGCAGCACTCCTGTCTGTATTTATGGATGTATGCTAAAATACTTCTCCTTGGAATGTTTCTCAACTTATTCCTGCAGACATTAGAACAACACTATGGAATCTGTGGCCATCTAGATCAGTGTTTCTCAACCTTGGCAACTTGAAGATGTCTAGACTTCAAGTCCCAGAATTCCCCAGCCAGCGGATAATTGTGCTAGGTATAGTGTGGGTGTACCTTGGTACACCCAGTATCACTCGTGCAGCTGCATTCTGGACTAATTGCAGTCTCCGAACACTTTTCAGGGGCAGCCCCANGTGAGATTTGAACCGCCGAACTGCAGAACTGCAGTCAGCTGAAGTAGCCTGCAGTGCTGCATTTAACCACTGCGCCACCTCGGCTCTTAATCAAATATCTATACAAATCAAATTTCATGGAGCTAACCTCCAGACACAAACTTCAAACAGTAATAACAATAACATTTTAATTAGTTTATTATTTTCTTTGGATTCTGCCAGATTTCAAAATATAGAGCTGACAACTCAGTTTATGGCCAATTGACTGTGTGTTTTATTCTTCTTCATAATAATAGAATGAATATAATTAAATGGACAACACAAATATTATTTTTTACAGAGATCCATGCAATATATCGTGATCTACCAGAAGAAGAAGAAGAAGACATTGAAGTAAAGGATGGTAAGGCAAAGAAATATTCTACTATAATTAAAAACTGCAATTAAAAATAATTATTACCATTCCCCAAACAGGAATTGGTTATATTTTAGCCTTAAAATTTTAATTTGATTTTTCCTCTCATTAGAAATGGAAGCAATTCACATTTTAAAATGGCTAATAAACGTTCCTGCTTTTGTTATTGAAAACCTGGGCTCATAATTTGATTGTTACCTTATTAACTGTGTATTTATTAAATTTATACTCTGCCCATCTCATCATCGAGAGCAAAATTATACTTTTTTATAAATGTTTTATAAATGTATTATATATAAGTAACAATGATATTTTCAAAACTTCCGAGATTTTACAAAAGGAATACAGTTTACCTTAGACCGAGCAGTAATATGTATTGTACTGATAAAATACTAATTTGGTACATTGTTTGGCTCCATTGCTCTTATTTCCTCTGAAATCCTGGAGCCTCCAAGGGTGTGTCGGTGTGCCTTTGAAGGTAGTCCTTGTTTAACGATGGTGATTGGGAGCGGAATCTCCATAGCTAAGCAATGCGTTCAGGTGGCCCAGTGGTTAAATGCAGCACTGCAGGCTACTTCAGCTGATTGCAGTTCTGCAGTTCGGCTGTTCAAATCTCACCNGAGAGAGAGAGAGAGAGAGAGAGAGAGAGAGAGAGAGAGAGAGAGATTGTTAAGATTAACTTCTCGTCCATGGCTGCCTCTCTGTTGGATTTTATTACCACTTTTCTCCATCTTCTCAACTGAATGAATACCTGTTAGCAAAAAAAAGAGAAAGAGGTGAAACCTTGGTGACAGTTTTATGGCAAAGTTGCATTTTCATTTGTATTTATGTAATGCTGTGGTGAAATCTAATGTGTTATTCTTTAAAGAGGCTGGGTTCGCAGAGGGTGCCTGAGCAAAGGGGCAATAAAACTGGAAATCTGCTATCAAAATACCCGGCTTTCATTTTTTAAAAAAAATGTTTTAAATGGCTGGAATTTGCCAGGGGAGTGGATCAATTACTTCTACTTAACCAGCTTCATTTAACAATCCATTCACACAGAAAGAAGTGAGCCAGCTTTAGGCCAATATTTGACTGTATGGAAAAGTAAGCAAGTCTCCTTTGGTTTCTGGGATTGGATATGTCTAGTTTAATGAAAAGAAGGATTAGGGGTGACATCATAGCAGTAATACCCAATATCTCAGGGGTTACCACAAAGAAAAGGCAGTCAACCTATTCTCCAAAGCACCTGAAGGCAGGCAAAGAATGGAAAGTTATCAAGGAGACCTCAAATTAAAAAAAAAATTTCCTGACACTTAGAACAATTAATCAGTGGAACAGCTTACCTCCAGAAGTTGTGAATGCTCCAGCACTGGAGGTTTGTATGAAGAGATTGGACCACCATTGTCTGAAATGGTGTAGGGCTTCCTGCTTGAGCAGAGGGTTGGACTAGAAGACCTCCAAGGTCCCAATTCTGTTATTCTGTATTATTCTGTAAGATGTGCTTGATTCCCTGGCTTTGCTGTAGACTTTCCTCGTATTGTTTTCTTTCATTACTTCTCAGTCTTCCCTGCAATTTATGGCTTTACTGACCACATCCTGCCTCTTTCAAGGCCACAGTTCCATGTGCTTAAAACAGTGTTTCTCAACCTTGGCCACTTGAAGATGTCAGTTTTGGTGCACGGTGAATCAGTGGTAAAATTATGTGAAACCCACCTCTGTTTTCATTATGCTAGATTTTTATGTACAAAAACACTGAAAGTTGGCGCCAATGACTATGGTCAACTACAACATGAATGCTATTTGGAAATGGATGCCAACAAATGCTGGGAAATAATGTAACACATCTGAGTAAGGGTTGAAGTATTAGACTTCAACCCTCTGACCCGTGTGTTCAAATCTGCACACAATCACACAGCTAAAAAATGATCTTGGGATATCCCTTCTTTCAGCACACTTAACTGACAAAAAGTGTTACAGAGATAAAATAGGTGACATCTCGTGAAATTTGCCTGTGTTCACCAGTCAGAAACAGAGTCACAAATGCCCATATAATACAATAAAGCTAATCCTTCCTTGACAAGCATTCATTTTGCAACTGTTCAAAATTGGTAGGTTACAGATATTTAAATCTGGCCTTGATCAAATAACTCTTCCAAATGAAGATGCTATTAGTGAAGTGTTGTGGCCCGGCAGGAGCCGTTGGAGCTGCCACCAGACTCCGACGACGAGGGGTCTTGTGAGTCGGCCCTGGAGGAGGTGGAGGACCCTGGACAGAGTTCCGACTCCGAGCAGGGCGCGGAGAGACTGGTTGGCCACCAGATGGCGCCTGAGGCCTGGATCAGTGGGGAGGAGACAAGAATGAGTGATCCAGAAAATACCTGTGAGTTGTTCCAGGATGCACGCCGTCGAAGGGCTACTCTGCGTCAAGAACAACTGCATAATCACCGGAGGTGATTACGCTCAGCTGGTGCTCATTAAGATCCTCTCCTGATTATAAAAGAGACTGCTTGTGCCACGCCTTTCTGCAGAAATCAACGTTAACGATTAACAAG